TTTTTTTTGGAATAATTATTTGTCATAAGATATATTTAATATTGAGTATGTTGAATTGATAAGTTTTGATTCAAAAATGCCCATTATCCCAAATACTCACTCCCTAGTAATTTCGTGCAAAGGATTAAAGTCTGATATTAGAAAGGAATTTTAGCTTAAATGATACATAATTCTGGATACTCACGGGCTAATTATTTGTGTGCGATTGATTAAATCGTTATTTTGACATTAAAAATAGCAAGAAGCACTGGATTTACGTGTGTTAACAGCTCGAATTACTCACTTCCTATTAATTTATGTGGGTTATGTTCGTTATTTTGTTATATTAGCAAGAAAAATGGTTCTCAATATTCAAAATACTTACAAACTGGTAATTAATTTTATATGTAATTATCAAAATTAATTCTAAATTGATATAAATCTTTTTTTACTTTAAATACTCACAAACTTGTAATATGGTACAGGTGCTATTAATTAGTAATTCATAGTGGAAAATATTGATTTTAAAGCTTATTAATACATTATTAATACTCACTCACTGATAATATAACGAATGAGTGGTGGATGGATTATCAATTAGAATTTTTGCCTCAAAAATGACACTCATTCAAAACCCCATAATTAAAACCTGAGAATTAGGCAGGCGTACCGAACAATTGATTGTGAAGTCAATTAATTGCAATTATTTGACATCAATAATTAATAATTAGCCAATTTTGTGGCAGTTTACCAAAAATTGTAGTCTAAAAAAACCCTCAAAAATTGGAATTAATTACAATTATTTCGTAATTACAATTGATTGTAATTCCATAAAAATTTAGTTGTAATTAATTTTTCGGTACTCCTGGTATTAGAGTTCTCAGTGCAGATATAGTACTCTTAAAACGCCATGCAACATTAGGATCCTGCATAGACCAGGCTGGGCTTGATATTTAAAATCAAGATGCAGCTGCAAAAAATATGTACAAATCAGATCAATTATGGACCATCCATGAATTAGATCCCTAATTTCTCCCACTGAACATGTGTAAATTCTTTTCTTATTGGACAAATAGACTACGCAGTCTTTTATCTATTAATAAAGTTATAAGTTCCCGCGTAACATAAAGTTTCCAAAAAAAAATTGACCTAAAATTTTCCTTGCAAAATTAGTACAGCCAGACCTCCCTAAATGGGATCGTATCATTTCATCGATGAGCACTTCACCGAGCAGCCATCGCAAGGCGTAATATTGAAATTATTAATCATCAAACTATCGGTAAATATTAATCATCGATCTGTATGATGGGTGCTCGATGAAACGATTGTCGATGAAATGATAAATGATACGTATCTCTAAATGCAGTCTCCCTAAATGCATAATTTATGAATACCTCTCTGAATGCATGACCTTGTTTTGCCAAATTCATATAATACTTATAGATTTTCACCTCCTTAAATGCAATAAAGATTTTCAAGTTTTTTTTTATATAGATCTTCTGCTATGCATTTAGAGAGACTGGCCAGGGACACGCAAAAATTTGGAAATAATTTATATCCAAATTTTTGTGTGTCCCTGGATCTGACTGAATATGTCCTATTGAGTGCACTACTTTATCAATACTTTTACATCCATTATTCATCCAACCAAAAGCAGGACTTCTATTTGTCCAATAGGAACTGATGGGGTAAATTAGTAAATATATTACGAACATTCAGATCTGGATCAAATTTTACATGGGTCGACAAATCTTAACACAAAAATCCGTATCAGTATCCAAGCCCAGCCCATAAAAATCAAACTGGAACTGGACCAGGCCAGATCCCTAGTCTGCATGATTATTTATGTCTCTATAAACTTTTTTCTGAAAAATTAATACTATTATAAATACTCACGATCTAGTAAGATGGAAGATTGATTAGATTTATATATAAAATTAATATGAATTATTAATAGCAGAAACCCAACTACTTACGCTCTAACAATAATTGTTAATAATTATTTTTCATCGAATTTGTGAGAATTAAGTCATAAATATATATTCGTAATTTTGAACACTTACGACCTGACAAATATTGTAAAAATTTAATGATTAATTTATTAGTAAAAAATTTGGTATAAAATATGTTTATTAATCCAGACACAGTATTTACGATCTTGCAATTAACGATAATTAAAGTCACGTATTTAATAGCAAATTTACATGAAACCTTAAAAAAAAAAATTTCAACATCAAAATACTTACTCCCTGATAATTAAAATTCATTATTTTTAACATTAAATTAGTTGAATGCTAGGGTTTGAAGTTAAATAGAAAGATGCTTTATATTTAAGTGCGTTTACAACCAGAAATACTTACTTCCTATTAATTATATTATTTTATAGAGATTAGCAAGAAACTTTTAATTATCAAGATTACTATAAAAAAAATTATACTCACAGACTTATAATTTGGTGTATATGTTATCAATGGGTAATTAATAATAGAAAAGAAGTTTATTACTATATTTTAAAATGGTTTATTAATTTAAATACTATACTTACGCTCTAACGTAGTTTATTCAATTAGTTTGGATTTTAAAACGTTGATACTTCTAATACTCACTCACTATTGTATAATGTGTGGTAGATGGATTATTAGAATCAAATGTTGCACATAAACTACATGGATACTATATAGCACTGCATTCAGTACCCGCAAGATAGTATCCCAGATAAATTATATATAAAAAAATAAATATTCCGAATACTCACGAACTGAAAGACGTAATAAATCAGATATATACATAAATTGATAAAAATCATGAATTGCATGCGCTTAAATACTTACGCTCTGATGATGATTATGGCAAGTTTTTTGTGTAATTAAATTTGCGAATATTAGGAAAATTTTGCGTTAAAAAATTCGTAGTTTTAATACTTACTTGCTAACAATATGTTCATAAGAGATTAATAATAATTATTAGACTGATTTCCTAAATATTTGCAGTTCTAAATGCTTACCTTCTAAATTTCGCAGAAGAGTCATCAAAACAATATATGTTAATGTTTGGTTAAAAGTACATTATAGAAACCTAGATTTCTTAATGTGTAGTAATTGTAAGTAACTATACAGTTACTATTAAATTTAATAGTAATTATATAATTATTGTGTAGTTACTGCATAATAAGGTATCTAGGTTTCCGTATAGTAAATGCTTCTAAATACTCACAAGCTGTATACGTATATGGTTAGTACTGATTTGAATCATAAATGTATATTTTTTTATAATTTTTGAATACTTACAGACTGACAATTTTTATAAATATAATGGTAATTTAATTGATTTTTAATTAGAAAAATGCAATTTTAAAAAGTTCATGACACTCACTCTCTATAATTGATAATAATTAAAGTTACGAATTTAATAGGAATTCACAAGAAATCTTATATTTGTTTTGACTCAAAATACTTACTCCCTGATGATTAATTCGTAGTTTAAATAATATTAAATTCGTTAAACTTAGGTTTTAAAGATATTAATAATTACAGATAATTACAGATACTTACAAACTGTTTATAATGTTTATAATTTAGTTATGTTATTGAATTGACCATAGTTTATAACTTCAGATACTCACTCTCCAATGCTTTATAATTAAGTAATATACAAAATCTGAGAAACTGTATTAAATTACATTATCAAACGTATTTATAATTCTGATATTCACCATCTGAAAATTTGAGATATATTTACAAATAGTTGATTAGAGCTGTGACGTTGAATTTGCAGAATCTGATAAATCATAAATTTGATATTCACCCACTGGTAATTTAGCATATATTTACAAATAATTGATTAGAGTTGAATTTATAAAACGATTAATTTAAAATATAATTTTGAATGCTCACTCCCTAGTTTTTTGATAATCGTGTGATATTAGATATTCAATATTAAGTTGATAAGAAATTTAAATTAAAAAGTCTATTGTTCCAAATACTCACTCCCTAGTACTTTATTAAAGTTTATTGTTTAATATTAGAAAAACTCTGATTCAGATGATATTATTCCAAATACCTACGGGCTAAATATTTGTGTGCAATGAATAAATCGTTATTGACAATAAAATGGTAACTTTGATTTAAGCATGTTTATAGCTCAAAATATTCACCTCCTATTAATTTATGTTGTTATATTCATTATTTTGTTGAGATTAAAGATAATCTTGATTTTAAAATTAGAAGTACTTACAAACTAATAATTAAATTTATGTGCAATTTTGTTAGAAATTTTATTCCAAAATTGATTGAAAAAAATTTATAACTTCAAGTACTCACATTCTTTTAATTTGATACATGTTATTAATGAGTGAATCGATATATTACTTAATGCCGAAATCACAAAAACATTTAATAATACCCACATCCTGGTAATTTGATGTTTGTTATTTGAAAGGGTAAGAGTTTTGATTTTAAACTGATAACATTCAAATACTTACCTATTAATTGTAGTTGCGTTAATGCATGTTACAGTAATTAATTGAAGGTATGTATTTGATTTCTAATTAATGATTTACTTACTCGCTGGTAATATTGAATGTAATTAGTCAGGGTTACGACTTTTATGATAATCCGACCTTAAAATGTCCATGATTTAAACTACTCACTCTATGCTAACTTGGCTAATATTGTCGGTTTTGATGATTGGCAATTGACTAGAGCTACTAAATTTAATATTAAATAACCATTTTAAAACACTTTATTAATCCAATACTATGCTTACGATCTAATCTGCTGATTAGAATTGGTAGAAATTTAAAAACCTTCATATTTCTAAATACTCACTCTCTAACAACATAATATGAGATGGATAGATTATTAATTAGAGCATTTACTTGTCTCAAATACCATTCACACTTTGACACGGATACCATAGAACACTGCATTCAGTACCCTTCATTATAGTGCCGCAAGTTAAAGCATATCTCAATACTGTCGTTCAAAAGCTTTGTCATATACCCAGGTATAAATTACTTTTGCATGACCACAACTAATAAAAATAAATACCTAAATATCAAAATAAAATTGATTGCAATTTTTGATATTTATCCGGGTGCTGAATGCAATTTTCAATTTGGAATAAGCGAGAAACTTTCATTTTGTAAATACTCGCTTTCTGGTAACCCTATAAAAAAAGTAATTTAGAATTTAATAGAATTTTACAGAACCTGAATGAATTATTTAAGATAATCCCGTATTACATAAGGAGTTCAGAATTCGTAGGAAATTTCGTATGTAATATTGAACTATATTAAATATTCCATACGACTCATTTAAATTCCATTAAAACCCATTACTTTTTTTGTAGGGTAAGTTTGTTTATAATTGATAGATAATTATACAAATCGATTGCTAAAAATTTTGTCATGTTTAAATGCTTACGTTCTAGAAATTAACACGATTAATAAATTTTATAATGAACTATATTAAATTAGCAATCAATGGATTTAGCTAAAATACTTACTCCCTAATGTTAGATGTGTATTGTCGATGATTAATTAATCGGGGACATTCGAGAACCTCAATTTTAAAGATGGCAATACATACTCTCTAATTAAGTAGTTAATTAGAGTTATTTGGTATGCACATTATTTGATATTAAGTAAAGAAAATGTTTCAAAAAATTCACCCCCTGTAATTTGATATAAAATTAAGCTTGTTTAACAAATTGTATTGGTTTAAAGATTATTGATTTCGAGCAAATAGCTCGACTTAATAAACCTTATATTAAAATTTTACAATTGCTTATTATGCCAAGCTGATTGCATTTTGTACCCAACATTCTCATCAAGTATTTTTTAGTTATCTTATATCAAGGGTTAAACTTACATGATGCTATCAACAAATAAAATAATAGTTACTTGATATTGATTAGAAACAAGGTTTTATTTTAAAGATCAACAAAAACAAATACTTACTCTCTGGTGTTGTGATATATTGAAATTAAATGTTTAAAGACGTATTATTTGTTATTGAAATTCAGATTTTTAATACTTACTGACTAGAAATTTATGTATATGTAATTAATTAAAATATATTAATTGAGCGAAAGTGTCGATTCTACAAATACTTACAACCACTCACTAGCAATATGTGTATATGTAATTGATTAAATATTTTAAACTAGAGAAAGGCATCAATTATCCAAGTACTTACTGACTAAAATTATTTATATGTATTTTATTAAATATTTTAAATTAGAAGGAAGCGTCAATTCTCCAGATACTCACGCCCTAGTAATTGATTATAAGTAATAAATAGACATTTAATTCATTTAATTAATAATATCGAGACCTTAAGTTCTTAAATACCTACATTCTAACGATTTGTACATGCAATTTATTACGTATTATTAAATATAATATTAGCAGAAAGCTAGCTTAAAAATTTTGATCCTAAATTTTTACCCTCTGATAAATTACCATGGTTGCTTATTAATAACTTATTTAATACTAATTGTTAAATAATTGATTTAAAAATGTCATACTCACTCACTAATAATATATTTGATAGAGTTGTTATTTTATATTAAAATCTTTGATCTCATTTCTAAATACTCACAGCCTAATAATTTGACAATATACATTTTAATGAATTAAGTAATTATTAGATGACTAATTAACCGAAATATTCCTTTTAAATGTTTATAGCTTAAATACTCACTCTCTTGATAATAGTTGGAATTATTACTTGTACTGATCTAAAGGAAGCTTTGATTATATGCTTTGTATTCAAATACTTACTCACTAATATAGTGATAGATTAGAAATATGTTTTATGCATTAAATCAGAATTTATGATTCTTAATACTCACTTTCTAGTATTTATTGACCAATAAATAATCATTGAATAAGCGATAAGTAATGAGTTTAAAATAATAAGTATTCAGTAGAGTAGTACCGTACGGCAGTACAAATTCAAGGACTACGAAATTTGATTGTACGTACGGTTAACAGAGATTTGTAAATTCAATGTTATGAGTATCCCTTTTTAATGGTTAGGGTTAGAGCAAGCACTAGTATTTGACAGCTACTAAGAAAGGTAATGTTGACTTGTCAAAGTTGTTCTTTACAAACCGTACGTACTATCATTATTGTCACGAGTCTGTGTTGCCGTCCTGTGCTGCTTTACTATATACTCTAAAATAATCCACATCATGCCAAAAAGTATCATCCTATTTTAATTTATCGGAGCGAAAACTAAATCATGAGTTTCAATAAATTCTATAAAAATTTAGAATTTTCAAGATACGATTTTTGATTAAAATGTAAGCTCATGACTGTTTTTAGCTCCGTTAAGCAAATACTTTTTGTTTGGAAGTGTATAAGTTAAAAATAAATGCTCACTCTCTGCGTGTGTTTGTTGATAACTGATTAGTATTGTTTTACGTTCAGATCACTGAAGATTCTGATTATCAAATTTACCTCCTGAAGGATTATATACAATTTGATATTTAAATTAGCATAAGTTTCGATTTAAACAATATCTTTAAATATTTACCGTCTAGTTATGAATAATAGAATTTTTTAGATTACATTTTGACTTAATAAACATCAAATTCTTCAGTTAATACACTTACTTTCTAACAACGTGGTTAATGAATCATTAATTTGGCATTTTATTAGTAAGAATGATTGTTCTTATTATCAGAATACTTACGCTCTATATGTAGTTTATTGATGTCATTAGAGTTAGAAAAATGTTGATTTAAAACATTATAACTTCAAATACATACTCTCTGGTAATTTTGGATGCATTGTATATTTGTTAGAGAAGAACGATCTGATACTGAAAATGATTCTAGATACTCAACTCTCTAATAATTTTGGATGAATAAATGATTAAGATTGATTTCAAAATGCGAATAGTTCAAAATACTTACGAACTTGTGAAATCATTTAAAATTAGAAATTGAATTTATATGTAACATTATTTCAAATTCAAAATGCTCACGCTCTAATAGTATAATAAATAATTATTAGAATATTAAAATTTTATAAATACGTATTTGTAATCTAAACTACTCACTTCCTAAAAATTAGGTGTAAATTGTTTATTTATAATTTAATATTACAAACAAAATATTGGCTTGAAATATTTACTTCCTGTTAATATGTGCATGTACAATAATTAGAACTATTATCAAATATTAAACTGAAAAACTTCAATTTCAAAATTATACTCACTCCCTATAGTTTATAGTGTGCGTTGAAAACCATTAATCATATTTGACGTAGAATTAGCAAAAGAAATGATTTCATTCGAGTACTTACGCTCTAGTCATTGATAAAGAATAGTTAATTAGTGCAAATTATAACATTTTTGACATAAATATTAATAATCGCAAATACTTACTTTCTATGTAATAGTAATGGATCAGAATTGTTTTTTGCTAACTAAAACATCGATTCAACTATTAAAGATATTCACTCTCTAACGGTTCAATTGAAAATTATTAATAGTGTCATGAAACATTTAATAGGCGAAAAATTGATTTAATTATTCTGAATACACACTTTCTGGTAATTTCGCAGAATTTATTAGAATTTTCTTAATATTTACAAATACATTTTCATTATTTCACTCACTCTCTAATAGATAATTGATTAAATTATAATATTTGGTATTAAATCAGCTAGTGAATCCAAGTACTCACGATCTAACATTTTATTAATAAATAATTGATTAGAATACTTTATTTTAAAAAAAAACTGTCTGACATTCAACTTCAAATACATACTCTCTAATAATTTTGAGCGATACTAGGTGTCAGATTATTGTGAAACTCATTTAAAAAATTTCCAGGTTTTTGAATACGCACGCTCTAATAATTTATGATAGATTATTTATAAAAATTGTTAATCTCCAATTAAAAAAAAATTGTTGCGACTTATGTTGAGATTGGATGATATTGATAAATTTAAATTTTTTTGAGGGTGCACTTCTCTTCTTTTCGGAGTTAGGTCAGGGTTAGTGATTAGAATTATTAATAAAAGAACAGGTGAGAATTTTAATGGATTTAAGAGAGTTAAATAAAGACCCTAAATCTCATCATCAACCAATCTCAACATCAACCGTGACATTTATTATTGATAATCACATTTTGCTGATTTAATGTATTCGTAATTTATTGATATCAATCAGTATTAATTAAATTAGATGCCTAAATTAGCAATGGCACATCATATTACAAACTAAAAGAATTGTGTTAGATAATGTTAGATTTATTAATGCATTAATTCCAAAATTATACTTAATTACAAACTCACTATCTGGTAATTGAGGATCGTAGTAATTAGAATTGGACTGACTCAATAAAAAACAAAAATTTGTACTTCATACACTTACATCCTAGTATGATGAACAATTAAAGTTATTATTTGATATGATACTATATTAGTATACTTTTCGAAATATTTAAAATATACCGACTGAAAGGAATGGTAAAAAAAATGTTATTTTATATTAACTAGTATGATCTGATTTAATATGTGGCACTCACGTCCTGTTTGATGAACGAATATAATAGGTTAGAATTATTGTATTCAATCATGAAAAATACATTTCGTTACTCACGCCCTAATAAGAAATATGGTTTTATTAATGTTATAAGAAATATGGTTATTAATATTTGAATAAAATAATTTGTATGATATTTATGTTTTAATTCCACCTACTCCCTGATAATTTGATTAAAAATTTTTTTATATAATATTAAATATTAATTTATTGAGAAACTTTCTTTAGGTTTATATAATTATAAATACTTACATTCTAGTAATTTTGTATATGAAAATTGATTAATGACAGTAGTGAGAAGACTTAATTTTAAATTTCATATACGCACTCCCTGAAATATGAACATATAAATAAATATTTAATGCTATTGTTGTTATGTTAGAGTGTAACATTGACTCCATAATTTAAAACACTTACAAACTGATATTTAGCATTTATAAACGATTGATTAATCTTGCTATTAAACATGTTTGAAACAATTTGCCTTTAAACGCTCACATTCTGAGATTTGATTTGAAATTAGTGAAAGCCATTTATATCGTTATTTAAACCGTTTATATTGAGATACTCACTCTCTGGTAATTTGACGTGCATACGATTGTAATTATATCAATTAACAGACTTGTTTCTTTTGAAATGCATATATATTTGAATGCTTACGCCCTAAAAAAGTGCATTTGATAAATAATTCATTAAAACTACATATGACTAATGTTTTAACAATTCTAAATATTACCTCCTATTGAATAGTTCATGAATAATTAGTTATAGTAAACCTTTCGAAAATGCATTTA